CCGGGTGAGTTCCAGGAGAGGCTCGGCCTTAACATCACAGCACCCGAGGAACAACACCGAGGCTGTCCTCTGGCTTCATATACACGCGCACTTTCACCTCACGTCCTCATACACACCCAGCTACACATGTATATTTACATATAGGAAAAAAAAGGCAAAAAGCTATGCAAGATTGAACCTGTGGCCTTACTACTCAACTACATCCCTAACCCTCTTTTCAGTTTTCAGTTTGAGACAAGAATTTCGCTAAGGAGCTGGAGAGATGGCTCAGAGGTTAAGAGCACCGCTTGCTCTTCCAGAGGGCCTGAGTTCAATTCCCAGCAACCACATGGTGGCTCACAACCATCTATAATGTGGTCTGGTGCCCTCTTCTGGTATGCAGGTGTACATGCAGGCAGAACATTGTATAAATAATAAATACATAAAGTCCTTTTAAAAAAGAGTATTGTAGTAAATAAAATGGATGTTGTGCTATATATTGCATATTATTAGCCCTGTAATTATTGCAATATTATTTATTATTATTATTATTAATTATACTTTATTCATTTTGTATTCCCCCATAAATCCCCCCTCCTCCCCTCCCGGTCCCCCCTTCCCCCCTTTCTGCATGCATGCCCCTCCCTAAGTCCACTGATAGGGGAGGTCCTCCTCTCCTTCTTTCTGATCTTAGTCTAGCAATATTATTTTTAAACCTCCTATCACAATTAATAAGACAGAGACACCTGTTAGATTTTTTAAAAGTAGATTTATTTATTTTATTATGTATACATTGTTCTGTGTGCACCAGATCTCATTATAGATGTTTGTGAGCCACCATGTGGTGGCTGGGAATTGAGCCATTTTTCCAGCCCCCACCTGTTATAAGATTTTATAATTGCCTTATTTACCTTAGGCTGGGCAGATATTTCTACCTTCCCATCCATTTCTCAGTCCTGATCCAATGCCTTCTGCCTTGACCATTCCTATCTGGGCTGCCTTCCATCCATAATCTTATAAATACTTGCTTATGTTGTTTTTATCTTGGTGTTTTCTCCATCCATGTCATCCTTGGAGTCCTTCCTCCCAGCCCACGTGGTTCCTTCTCCATGCTAACCCATTGTGGCATCCTCCTGCCTCCTCTTTTCCTGTCTGTCTCTCTGTCTGTTTCCCATGATTCTCCTGAACCCAAAGCCCGGGGAACCTTAGCTATGCCTACCCCATTCTTCCCGGCCCAGGTTTTAGGACTTTCAAGCATCAAACTAACCCCAACAATTTCCCTTTTCTGTCTAAATAAAAAGGCCATTTTATACAGTAATAATAATTATGAAACAATTATAAAAACCAGTAGGTAAGACTATATATAATGTCTAGTCTAAATGTATTTGGTAGTCTTGAAGAAAATATCTATCCTATCTATGAGGGTCTAATTTTTGAACCTAAATTATTTTTATTATGGTTTGTATATATTAACCTAAAAACACCCATCTAGACGTAAGACATCTTTTTAACTCTTAAGCAACTAAGCTAATTTTAAGGTTATGACTATACATTCTTCAGCCCCATCAGAGACTTGAGAAGGAATAAAATTAATTACTTGAGTAAATAGAAAGTGCATGTTAGCAGCCTCCAAAAAAAAAAAAAAAAAAAAATTGACAGAGACAGTTTGCTGCCTGAACAGCAACCCAAAATGCTCTGTAACATTGGAGCATCATCTTTGGCCTTCTGGCCTACTACCTTTGACAGACATATATGTGAAACAGGAACTATTTAAGACTTGCTTACCCTGTCTTGGCAGAGTTTGGCAGTCAACTTGGCCTGCACTTAAGCTTGCCTATTTTAGGCAGAATTCTGTCTGTCATAAAAGCGAGGGCATTTTCTTTGCCCAGCTGGCTGATTTGACACATTTGAGGACATTTTCATATGGAAGTTCTTCAGTGTTCATTATTTTCTTTGAGGTAAACTGGGTGCTGTCAGGAGATGACATGCCTCATTCTCAAAGAATCCTTAAAATAATAAAAACATTTTAAATGCCATATTCTGTAGGTCTCTGAGGTTTTTGAAGACTTATTTATCTATTTATCTTTATATTGTCTATCTATCTGTAGAATCATATCTATCTGTTAAACGCAGGGTGTATAGTCCTGTGATAAATTAGACTAGTGTCTAAAATGACCCATGAGTTGTTTACCTAACAATTAACTTGTATTACCTAATATTCTAAACAGTTTGTAATAGCAGTTTTAAAAGTATTGGAAGTAAACCTTAAATTTTTATCAATATACCAACATTTACAGTAATGCATCAAAAATACTTATTTTTGCATCAATATAGAAAATCTCATGCCAATGAGTTAAAAGTAACCTCATTCAAGAGTATCAAATAAAGCCTTAAGTTGAGAAGCAGATTCAATAATCTACCTTTTATCTTATCATTCCTATTAGATATCCCTATAAAAGAGTCTCAACGAGTTTCCCATGCTAGCCTTGAGCTCATTCTGCAGCTCAGACTAGCCTTGGACTTTTGATCCTCCTGCTTCAGCCTTCTGGGTAGCTATGATTGTAAGTGTATGCCTCCAGGTCTAGTTCTAAAGTCTCCATTCTGTGGGATAAAAAAAGTTATGGAGTGTCTGGTTGGTGCTGGTGCATGCCTTTAATCCCAACACTCAGGAGGCAGAAACAGGCAGCTCTCTGTGTGTTTGAGGCCAGACTATTCTACATAATGAGTTCCAGGACATCCAGGGCTACACAGAAAAACTCTGTCTCAAAAAACAACAATAAAAAAATTGTTATCTGATAGACTAAGATCAGAAGGAAGGAGAGGGACCTCCCCATCAGTGGACTTGGGGAGGGGCATGGGTGAAGAAGGGGGAGGAGGGTGGGACCAGGAGGGGAGGAGGAAGGAACTTATGGGGGGATACAAAGTGAATAAAGTGTAATTAATAAAAGTTAAAAAGTTGCTACAATGAGGCTTGAAGGATGGCTTGTGCTTAAGAGCACTTGCTGCTCTTGCAGATTCTGTTGGATTCCTAGCACCCACATGTCAATTCACAGCCATCTCACACCCCAGTTCCAGGGTATCCTACCCCTTTTCTGGTCTCTGAGGGCACTGCAGGCATGTGGTACTCACACATATTGTGGTGTTTTGAATAGGAATGACTCATGTGCTTTAACGCTCGGCCCGTGGGGAGTGGAGTGGTACTATTAGGAGCTGTGGCCTTGTTGGAGGAGGTGTGTCACTGTGGGGGTGGGCTTTGAGGCCTCAGAAGGTCAAGCTGCTGCTTCTTGCTACCTGAGGATAAAGATGTCAACTTGGGGTTAGAGAGATGGTTCAGTGGTTAAGAGTACTGGGGACCTCTGCTCTCCCAGAGGTCCTGAGTTCAATTCCCAGCAATCATATGGTGGCTCACATGATGACATCTTCTGGCATGCAGGTATATATGCAGATAGAGCACTCATATATGTATATATATACACACATATACACATACATACCTATGTGTATGTATATATACACACATATACATACATATATACATAAGCATGTATATAGGCATGTATAGGTACGTATGTATATATACATATGTATATACATATATGTGTGTATATATTTTTTTTAAAAGATGTAGAACTCTCAGCTCCTTCTCCAGCATGCTGCCACGTTTCCCACCATGATGATAACTGATTAAATCCATGAACCTGTAAGCCAGCCTCAGTGTTTTCCATATAAGAGTTGCCATGGTCGTGGTGTTTCTTCACAGCAATAGAAACCCACCAAGACACACATTTAGACAAAATACTCATACAAGTAAAAGGAAAGTAAATAGCAGGCAGGGGTGGCTTGTGCCTTAAGTTCCAGCATTCCAGAGGCAGAAGCAGGTGGATCTCTGAGTTCAAGGCCAGCCTGGTCTACAGGGTGAGTTCCAGGACAGCCAAGGCTACACAGAGAAACGCTGTTTTGAGAAACCCAAATTATTATTATTATTAATACATAATTAATGATAAATATTTTCAAATGGTTAAGATATTATTATCAGACTAAAGACAACTTGTTTTTCTATCCCAGAAAAACATCTGTCAACTTCTATCTGTATCCACTCTCGATGTGAGCTGATATAAATCATTTCGGCCTGTGCAGTCTTGTTCTGTTTTAGTTCCTCGAGACAGGGTTCTCTGTGTAGCCCTGGCTGTCCTGGACTCCCTTTCTAGACCAGGCTGCCTTGAATTCACAGAGATCAGCCTGCCTCTGCCTCCTGATTAGGCAGGATTAAAGGCTCAGGCCAACACACCCACTACATGAGGCTTTTACATGTATGTTTCTCAAAAGTGTTCTGGGGTGCCAGTTACAGCTTGGTAAGGCCTAGTGACCCTGTGAGCTTTTAAAGGGGTGGATCTCACACTGGGTCCCATTGGCATGACCTTACAGCCTGGTCTTCTCAGCCAGGGCTTGCCTCCCTCAAGCTAACCTTGTCCCAGGAACTATGTGGAGTACACACACACTTCAGATTCCCGTGGAATGGGCATTTGTCCTGATACTGGTGGATGTTGAGGGTGTGAATCCTGCAGTGAGAAAAGGGGCTGGAGAGATGGTGCTTCAGCAGTTATGAGCACTTCCTCCTTTCCACAGGACTAGAGTTTGGTTCCTAGCAGTTAGGATGGCTCACAACCACCTGTAACTCCAGCTCCAGAGAATCGCATGCCCTTTTCTGGCCTTCACGGACACCCACACACACATGGCACATACATATAAGTAAAAATTAAAAAAAGTTTTTTTTTAAAGTGAAGAGATGAAGCCAGGTGGTGGAGGCGCTCACCTTTGATCCAGCACTTGGGAGGCAGCGGCTGGCTGAGTTTTAGAACAGTCAGGGATACACACAGAAACCCTGTCTCGAAAAACCAAGAGAGAGAGAGAGAGATGAAAACAACAAAGATTAGACTGACTCATGAGCCTGGAAGAGGGTGGAATCAACCAAGGAAGGAAGAACAGAAGTGCTGAATGGGATATTTCATTCTGCGCTTACTAAAGCTCTTCTCTTCTCTGCTGGGCTGTGGACAAAGACTTCTGGGTCTCCCCAGGGTCTAATCTGTTGCTAGGAAGAGGCCAACTCGGACCCCCCTGTGTGTGCTTCTAGAAGTCAAGGACATTCAGGTAAGATTTTCCAAGTACGACTGGGGGACTTGGAGGGTTTTGTGCAAAGAAGGTACAAATGTCTTGTTAGAAAGATCATTCTTGCCAGGTGTAGTGGCTCACGTCTTTAATCCCAGCAATGAGGAGGGAGAGGCAGGCCAATCTCTGTGAGTCTGAGGCCAGCCTGGTCTATGAAGAGAAACCATGTCTTGGAAAAAAAGAAGGAAGAAAGGAAGAAAGGAAGAAAGGAAGAAAGGAAGAAAGGAAGAAAGGAAGAAAGAAAGAAAGAAAGAAAGAAAGAAAGAAAGAAAGAAAGAAAGAAAGAAAAAAAGAAAGAAAGGTCGCTCTCACCTTCATGGGCACCTGATCTCACATGCATATACCCGCATGGAGATAAAATTACCTATTCATAATTTAAATAAAATAAATATAAAATCTCTGGACTGGAAAGGTAGCTTAGTGGTAGAGATCTGGCTTAGTATCCTCAAGGTCCTGGAGTCCATGACTAGTTCTACAGAAAGGAAAACAAAATAAGAAAAGAAGACTAAGTGTGGTGGCACATATGTGCATTTGGGAGACAGAAGCAGGTAGATCTCTGTGAGTTCAAGGCCAGCTTGGTCTACATATCGGGTTACAGTCCAGCCAGGGCTACACAGTGAGATCCTGTGTAAAATAAAACAGGAAAGGAGAAAGGAAGGAATAACTGAGACAGATCATTGCGGCTTCTGTGAAGAAGACTCAAAGAAGAAGAAACTGGAGGAAAGATTTGACCCTCAAATGAAAAGCCTGGGGATCCGTGTTTGCAGGGAGGCAGGGGTCCTGTCTCCATCTGCAACTCTTCATTGCCTCCCAGGCTGGGCCCAAAGGAACAGATCAGTGGTGAGTGGAGAGAGGTGAAATTACGGGCAAACAGAGAAGGGGATCATGGTGTTTGCCATGTACTTGCTATGACCCAGAGGGTTTGTTCAGTTGCTCTAAAAAGGAGAACATTTATGTTGGTGTGTATGTGTGTATGCATGTAAGTATTTTCAAAATCCAGACCTTTAAAAACTTCTCACATTTATTGATTGATTGAAGATTGAATGTGTTTGTGTATGTTTGTTTGTTTGTTTGTATGCATGCATGTATGTTTGTATGTATGTATGTGGGAGTCAGCTCTTGACTGCTACCACATGGGTTTCAGGGATTGAATCAGGTCATTAGATTTGGTGGCAAGTGTCTTTACGTGCTAATGCATCTTGCCATCTATCTCTAAGAGAGACTCTTTTGTTCTTCAGTTCTTTAGGTCATTTACTTTTTGAGGGGTGGTGGCGAAGGCAAGTTTTCACTATGTAGCCCAGACTGGCCTAGAACCCACTGTCCTTCCCCTGCCCTCCTCCCCCGTGTACTGGGATTACAGGCATGCGCCACCAATTGCAGCTGAATTTGTTTTGTGTGTTTTCGTTTGAGAGGTTTGGGTAGGGTCTGTGCTTTTGCTGCGGAAGTGATGTCAGGGTGGAGTACAAGGCAGAATGACTTTTAGAGAACAGGGAAGGAAAAGACTGAGGAAGCAAAGTTTTACAAAGCGCCATTCTTTCTTTTGTGCCCTCTAAGCAAACACCGTCCTGCGGGTTATGTCACTTGATCCTCCTGCCAACTGGGAGAACTCGGCAGGGCTGGGTCACCATCTCCCCCAGGGCTAACAGGATTTCTAGGCTGACATGATGACCCAGCTGATACAGAGAACCAGCTATGACAGGATGAAGGATATGTGTGTCCTGGCCCTTTTCAAAGAAGCAATCAGCCAGAGAACGGAACTATTTAAGTACACGTCATAAAGTCTGGAGAGAAGATGAGAGGAAAAAGCATCACATCTCTTCTAGCTTGGGAAGCTCAGCTGTTTTTATAAACCTCTCACGCCATGGGATAAGAGAACCTTCTTGCTGACCTCCAGGCCAGCTTCAGGGAGCCTCAGGACCCAATGCTGAAGGAGCAAGGACTGACCTTATCTTTCGCCGTAGGGACAGAGAGGCTAAGGTAGGGAATGAATGAAGCGCCCCTCGGGGTCTAGTCTCCCTAACCATAGCTCCCTCTGCACAGGCAGAAAGGCATGGCCTGGAAGCACACAGCACTCCTGCTTTTGGTTTGCACGGTTACCACACGCAGTGCCCGGGACAGAGCAGACCTGCTTAATGTTTGCATGGATGCCAAGCACCACAAGACAAAGCCAGGTCCTGAGGACAAGCTGCACGACCAGGTTCTGATGGGAGGCGATGGCAGGCGGGGTGGTTGTGGGGGCTGTGGCGAGCAGCCCATGTGAGGCATGGGGGAAACGGGGGAGGTGACTTCCTGAGGGCTCTCCCCAGAAGAGGACACGATGGTGGCGACCACGCAGTTGATCATTATAGGCCTCTAATTAGAGGCCATGTGATGATAATCTATTATCACTCAAATAAGGGCTTATGAAAGCACAGTGACTCACAGGACTTAGATACCACCAGGGTTTTTTGTTTGTTTGTTTGTTTTTAACACGAATTGGTGTCCTGCTGGCGTATGTGTCAGAGCCCCTGAAACTGGAATTACAGACAGTTGTAAGCTGCCATGTGATGTGGATGCTGGGACTTGAACCCAGCAGCCAGTGCTCTTAACCTCTGAGCCATCTCTCCAGCTCCCAACACTACCAGCTTGTACAGTGGGGTTCAGGTAGGATTAGGAAAAGCTTCTCTAGAAACTTGGAGGGTGAGAGTACACAGAAGAGATGGTTTCTACCCTCAGTTCTGCAGAGGCAGAGTGCCAAATGCAGAAGTGGGAAGACCCACTATGTGCGAGCTGCAATTCACATGGTCTATGATGGAAACTTAGTGCAGCCTTTTGTGATGAATATGTTTACATCCATATATATATACACACACACACACACACATACATACATACATATATGAGGGCTGAAGAGATGGCTCAGCAGTCAAGAGCACTTCTTGCTATTGCAGAAGGCCCGAGTTCAGTTCCCAGCATGCACACGGCAACTCATATCTACCCATAACTCTAACTCCAGGTCAAGAAGATTTGATCTCTTCTGATCTGCACATACACACATCTAGGCACACATACATAAAACTTAAAAAAAAAAGGGTAAAACAAAGGACAGAATAAGACATTCATCCTTTATTACATGTATTTATCTTTCTGTATATGTGTGACACACATACATGCCCAACATGTGTGGAGTCAGAGAACAGCTTGCAGGAGGCAGTTCTCTTTATCATGTAGGTCCTGGGGATTGAACGCAGGTCATGAGGCTTGGTGGCAAGTGCCTTTCTTTACCCACTGAGTCATCTCATTGGCCTGTTTCTGTTTGTTTGTTTTTTTTTAAATGAACAAATGAAGCCAGGCAGTGGTAGCACACGCCTTTAATCCCAGCACTCAGAAGGCAGAAGCAGGTGATCTCTGAGACCGAGGCCAGCCTGGTCCACAGAGTTCTAGGACAGCCAGGGCTACGAAGAGAGACCTTGTCTTGAAAAAACAAATGAAAAGGCTGGCACTCTGTGTAGACCAGGCCATCAGGCCTGGCATCGAACCCATAGAAAGCCACCTGCTTCTGCCTCTCAGGTACAGGGACTGAAGGTGTGCTTCATCATGCCTGGCTTGTTTTGGCATTTTAAAAGATTGTTTGTTTTTTGAGATAGGGTCTTACATAGCCCAAGCTGGCTTTGAACTCAGGATGTGATTGAGTATGACCTTGAACTCCTAATTCTCTAGCCTCCACTTTTTTTCAGAGTGCTGGTTTTGCAAGTCTGTGCTACCATGATGGGGCATGTTTTGTTTAGATAGAGTCTCATCCATGGTTTTTTAGGCTGGTCTTAAATTCAACGTCCTCCATCCTCCATTTCCTGAATGCTGGCATTACAGGCATGTAACCAACATGCCCAGCTGAGAAGCTGAGGCGCTAAATAAGTAGGCGATTATCCCAAAGACAAGGCTCCCCTAGCTTCTTTCTTACACTGTGGTAATTATATCTCTCTAGAAATGGGGTTCCCGGGGTTCTAGGATAGAGGGGCCTTTGTGGTAAGGGCTTACAGAACAGCCTGTGTGGGGCAGGGAAGCGAGGGCCGAGTGAAGCAAGGCTGGAAGGTGGGGTCGAGGGATTCAGACCTGTCTTTCCCAACTAGTGTAGTCCATGGAAGAGAAGTGCCTGCTGCTCAGTCAACACCAGCCAGGAGCTACACAAGGACAACTCCCGTCTGTACAATTTCAACTGGGATCACTGCGGTAAGATGACACCTGCCTGTAAGCGTCACTTCATCCAGGACACCTGCCTCTACGAGTGCTCCCCTAACTTGGGGCCCTGGATCCAGCAGGTAGGAGTGTCCCCCTCGCCTCCGCCTCCAGCTGCGGCCCGCCCCGGCGGCGTTGCTGAGTCCAAAGCCTTCCTCCCCGCCTCAGGTGGACCAGAGCTGGCGCAGAGAGCGCGTCCTCGACGTCCCCCTGTGCAGGGAGGACTGTCAGCAGTGGTGGGAGGACTGCCGCTCCTCCTTCAGCTGCAAGAGCAACTGGCATGAGGGCTGGGACTGGGCCTCGGGTGAGGCGTGGGTGCGCCGGGGGAGGGCCTGGGGCTCCCAGCGGGCGCGGCCGGAGCAGCGCCGGGCGGGCGCGGTGGCTGAGGTCCTCTGTCGGTTCCCTAGGGCAGAACCAGTGCCCCGCGGGCGCCTCCTGCCGTCCCTTCAGCTTCTACTTCCCCACCCCTGCCGCTCTGTGTGAGGAGATCTGGAGTCACTCCTACAGGCTCAGCAACTACAGCCGAGGGAGCGGCCGCTGCATCCAGATGTGGTTCGACCCCGCCCAGGGCAACCCCAACGAGGAGGTGGCGAGGTTCTACGCTTCCTTGATGACGGCTGGGGCTGCGGACCATACAGTGGTGTTTCTTGCGCTCAGCCTGACCCCAATGCTGTCATTATGGCTCCTTGGCTGAGGCAGTCTTCTCTCTAGACTTCTCCTTGGTTTGCCTGAGGCTGGTTCTCAGTTCACCTCCTCAAAGAATGAGGCGGTCTAGGCCAGCTTCTCCCCGACTCCTCCGCCATCCAGTCCTGCTCCATGGTGGGGCGTAGGGTTCCTACAGCATTCGTTTTGAATAAATTTGTGATACATCTGGATCTAATGAATGAGAGTCATTGTGAGTTTGTGGGCTGGTCGGGACAGACCCTTCTGGGTCAGAGCAAGTAGAGTGCTTGAATCCCCACTGTCACCACATAAAAGTTTGTAATAAGGTCCCTCCTCCTAGAAGGTGGATGAACCAAGTGTCTACACTTTAGTACACTTTAGTTTGTGAGAACTGAGTTGTTTCTAGGGCCCCAAATGAGAGGAAGATCCAGGATCTTTCTTTTTTCTTTCTTCCCTTCCTTCCTTCTTTCTTTCCTTCCTTCTTCCCTCCCTCCCTTTCTTTCTCTTTCTTTCCTTCTTTCCTTCCTTCCTCTCTTTCCTTCTTTCTTTCCTTCCTTCTTCCCTCCCTCCCTTTCTTCTCTTTCTTTCTTTCTTTCTTTCTTTCTTTCTTTCTTTCTTTCTTT